GTTGATGTCCCTCAGGTATGCAAGGGAGCAGAGAGCGGACAATGCTGTGGGAATATGATCAGGATTAGGCAGGGAGGGGAGGGGCAGGGCATGGCCCGGCCGCCTCTCTGCTCCTCCTGGGAATTCTCGGACTAAGACGCAGAGATTCCGACGGAGACGTATCAGGTTCGTGGCTTTCCGAAGTGCGGTTGGGCCACGTTCCAAATGGTGCCTCTGTCTCAGGGCAGGGCGATGGAGGCGCCAGCAGGTAACGAGAGGCGGAGGATTGCCCCGTTTGACAAGTGAAACCAGAGATTTAAAGCTCCAGACTTGAAGCTTCCAGTCATTACTCCAGACAGATGAGAGGAAAAGCTGCAGCTTCAGTCTGGCAGTGGCACAGTACAGATTTAATATACAGCACCAGTCAGTACACTAAAGCCACGTTCAGAATGCAGTACATTACCTCAACAGAATCCTGTAACATACAGGAACTACATAACATTGTTATTGTAACAAAATTTCATATTTCCAATTTTGTTTATAATAAAAAGGGTAAAAAAGCTCTCAACTTTAACGTATGCAAAAATGACAAAATGTTTGGTAAATTTGGACCATTTCTTTTGGTCTATTAATTATGAAACCATAGCACAGTCTAAAGTGCAGCTGGCATTTTAATACAAAAAAACTCTAGAATATAAAGTGATTAGTGATTATATATTAAAACAAGAAATCACAAAACTGAAGGATAATTGTTAACGCTAATCGTAGCATGATTCAATCGGGATGATTTCAACAGTTATTCAAAATGGTCTGATGTAAAAATGTGCCATACATACCAAGTCAGATATGCTCACAACAGCAGTGATGGGTGTTTGATGAAATGTTTCATGCCTTCAGAAGATGGCTCACAGAAGGTAATTACACTAAATGGTTACAAATAGGTTACCTGATGCCTGAGACATTTAAAATGAACAGGACCCCCTTTTGGGCCCAAACTTTTACTATACAATTCTATAACCTAAAAATAACGCTGGAATGCATTGTAGCCCATGAAGTTACTGAATAATAAGCCTTAGCATGTCAAAAGCCTGAAATTTTAAGGGGTTAATGATAGTTTTGAGATAAGGATTTTGACTTAAATTCTTTTTTAAACACATTAATGGCAGAGAGGATATGCAGGGTCTTCTAAGGCTAAACAGTACCTAAAGAAAATCAAGATGGTAAATTTCTCTACCATAAATCTATTCACATTAAGCTACTGTGAATGAATTTGTTTGCATCTCAACAATTGAATTATGCAGAAATGTAGAAAAATAGTTGGAATTCCTTTTTTAGCCATTCCAAAGTAAAGGACAGTCAAACTGAACCACGCAAGCAACACAGAAGAGGGGGAAAAGGAATTAGGTTGACACCAGTGTGCACACCTTAGCACAAAATGGTACCTATTTGAAATACATATTTACAATAAAACTAAGGATCACTTACAGATATGCCCTCAAGAATGCAAGCTAAATCCCTTAGCAAGTTACTGCCAGTCATAAAGAGATAAGTAGCAAGAAGTGCCTGTAATTTAACCTCCTGTGTTTCCACAGAGCTCAGAGCTTACATGACGGACAGACGGCGATGACCACTGTTCTCGCAGAATGAAAAGCAACCGGCCCTGAGGGCGAGGCGGCAGTCTCTGATCACCGCAGATGATTGTTGAGCGGGCCCGGTTATGCCACACCACGCTGCCTCTCTTCACTCACTCTCTCTGGAGCTCCACTGGCAGAGTGATTGTAGTAGGAGAGAACCCTACAATAGACGAGCAGCAATATTACAGTTTACACAGCCCTCTGAATGATTCCTCCCCAAAACATGGTTATTTTCCATCACTCACTCACTCTTTCTCTCTCTCTCACGCACACACACACACCTGCTTTACAACATTTCACCTGTGAAAGCACTGCCTAAAAATACAGGTGTGTAATACAATAGAGTTAAGCTTTTCCAAGTGTACAAAATTCTCATGTTTGAGTCAAAGATCTAGTACAGCAAATTTAAGCTTTAAAAAGGGGGTTCTTCAGAGTGTCTATAGTAAAAGCAATAGTTTTACTTAGTATCATGATCAATGCAAAGAGCCATCTGAATGCTTAGAAAGCTTTGTCTTGATGGAGCATATACGTTCCTTTAAAGAACCTTTCAAAAAAGGGTTCTCCTAATAAAACAAGACATAAAATCTAAACTAAACATAACCTTTCTTGCCAAAAGCAGTCCCAGCAGGATCTTGTGGCCTTTTTAGTTCTTGCTGTGGACTAAAATGCTTGATTTTGCATCCTTTACTTCTTTGGCCCAGAGAACACAATTTCCATTATTTCCTTAAACAATTTGAAAGGTGGACTCGTCACACCACAATACACATTTTCACTGTGCATGAGCCCATTTCAGAAGAGCTCGAGCCCAGAGAAGTAGGCGGCGTTCCTGGAGGTCGTTGACATATGGCTTCCACTGGGAGTTTGTAGATGCAACAAACAGTATTTATTGCCAATGGTTTGTTAAAGTATTCCCAAACCCATGTGGTGATATCCATCACAGAAACATGGTGGTTTTTAATACAATGTCATCTGAGGGGTCAAAAGTCATGGGCATTCAGTTGTGGTTTTCAGCCTTTCATTTTGGGAAATTCACTCACTGTGGAACATCACCCACAATTCACCCTTACTCATAAAAGACTTGACCTTTCCTGGACGCTCCTTTAATAACCAAACATAACTGCATCACCTGTTTAAGATGCTTTATGAACATTCCTAGTCTTAGATTGCGCATCACAAATTTTGCATGTGGCAGGCCCCAATTTCAATGTTCACAGAAAAACAATTAAGTTAATAAGGTAAAACATTACATATCTGTACTGTTTTCCCTCAAATCTAGAAGATAATAGTATGTTTATATAGAATATAGTAGATTTATAAATCACTACATATGGTCCTAAAATTTTTTGGAATGGAGGTTTTACTTGTATATACAATAAGCCCCATGTTTCAAAAATCATTCACAAAAGGAAAAGTATTAAAGTAATTAAATTAATTAAACATCCAATGGCACAACAATTTCGCAAGGTTTGCTGAATCTGTGTTTCCTGTAGGGACTGTAAAAGTGTACCCTTTACATACCTGATCATGTTGAACACAAGAAAGTGTGTATTTATGAGGAAAAAAAATATGTACTGTGAAATAAAAAATGCTGACAACTGCCACTGCCTACAGGGAAAAGTTCTTATGCAGCAATCTTCAGTGACGAGAAACTTCATCAGGAAAACTGCAGAATCTCCATTTACATTTCTACCACATCATGTCCTGATGTTCTTAAAATATGCACTGTAAACTCAAAAATAAAACCCATCAAGATCATTAATTCTTAAAACTCCATTCTGTGAAAGCGACAGTGGCTCAGGCAGCAAGGCACAGGCTGCAGTAGCCAGAGGCATGAGTGGATCCAATTAATATCTTGAGATGGTCAACAGTTCAGGGCATTACTTATTACATCTGAAGGGGAGAGGAAAATGAAAATTAACCCCCAGACCTTAATTTTTTAACTGCAGAGAGGGGAAAAAAGTGGCAGCAGAATGGTTATTCATCAGCATGATCTGCATAAGTGGCCTGTGAAATGGCAAAGAGGTTTTTAAATTGAAAGGCATAACTGTCATTAGAGAAACACTCAATACCACACACAATCAGAAGTAACATTAGCCACAGGAGGGTTCACACAAAAAAGATTATGGCATAAATTAATTTGACTTAATATGTGGTGTGAATTAAATGACGATACATTTAAGCTCACGTTCATTCTAAAGTCAAGTCTATGCTACACAGGATGTGTATTTTGGAAGTGCAAAGTCAAACCGGCCCTTTCATCATCATCTCTCAAATCTCTCAAATTTTTTTTTTTGATGTAATATTTAATTTTCATTGGATGCAAATTCAAACATTACACTTTAACAAATCAAATATCTGTATTGGACTTTTTAAAATGAACTTTAATTTAATCTATATTTGTTCTAGTGCACACAGCTGTTTGCACAGATACAAAAGTAGCTTCAATTTTTAAAGCACACTACAGCTGGCATTAGTTCTCCCTTCAGGAAATGGGACAGTTACTCAAATGCTTACTGAACTACCACCATTGGAGCCTAAATGCAAAAGACATACTTCAGGAAAAGCTAGACACACTGCATCTAAAACCCAGTTTTCATTGACATAGGCAAACCTGCCCAGCTGAAATGAACCATTCTGCTAACAAGACTGCTGCTTACAGAGACAGATCTGAGTATAGAACACACTATGCTTTTAATATAAAATTGAATAAGGACAGTGCTGACAATAAAGCAATTTTTCACCATATCAAAACCAAATACTCTGGTATAATCTGGTATAATATATTCCATAATGAAAATGCAGCTGATCCAGGTGTGTTTGTCTGACAGTAATAAACAAGCAATTACATTTATTGCCTCTCCTGGACTCCTGGTTTTCACACGTGGCTCTGGTGTGTACCCTGCATATCAGTAATGTAACAGATACTGCGCATCAGTGTGCTTTTTACATGTCAGCTATCTGCCATACCATCTATGTTTCTCTACTTAAACTAATAAATAACATTGGGAATTAGAACCATTTAGGAAATTAAAATATTATATATTCTGTAATTCATCTAATAATAAATAAGTGGTAAATGGCTAACACTGGGGGAAAATTGGAACGACAGAAGAAAAGAAAGAAAGAAAGAAAGAAAATGAACTGGGCTGAATCAGAAACCACAAGGATGAGATATTCCCTTTTTTTAACCTTTTGAACAAAATCAATACACAGTTGGACAATATACAAAAACATTTATTTATTTTTTTTATATGAAGTGCTTGAAAACCTACATATCTGAAACACAGCCTGACCACGGGGGAAGATGAAAAAAAAGGGGAAAACATAAAGACTTAAAACAAAACGTAAGGAAAAAAAAAAAAAGGAAAAATGTCACAATGTCTCTTGTAAATCAGCAACAAGTGAACAGGCCAGGTCGAAGTGACCTCCGTTCGCCCTCCCCCCTTCTCTTTCTTTCTCTCTCTCTCTCTCTCACACACACACACACACACACACACACACACACAGAAACAGGTCAAGTTCTAGGCCATGTTATTAGTTATCGATGTGGCACACAAAAGGGGGGAGGGAGATCGCAAAGGGTGTTGCTGTTGGCAGATGTATGTATCTATGTGTTTGTGAGCGCTCAGATTTTCACCTAGTCCCTACAGCAGGTTCAGAGAGATCCAAGACTTCTGGGTCTTCTAGTACTCCACAAGAGGTATTGTGAATGTGTGTGTGCATTCATGCCTGAGCCAGCCTTTCGAGGACTCTGCGGTACTCTGCCAGAACCTCCTGGTAGCTCTTCTCCAGTTCTTCATGCTGTAGTCTTGTGTCCATCTGACTGATGTGAGAGGCCAACTCCTCTGGACGCAAACACTTACGCATCTTCGTCAGCTCACGCTGGTTCTTCTACACATGAGAAACATGAGAAATGTTACAGCTCACCATGGAACTACACAATTAATCATAAACATGGTCATCCAAAACTAATCACATGAAAACTTCCTGCAGATAAACAGTAGGAGAGAAAATGACAGAAAAAAGACTCTACATTTTTACACGAAGACATACAAGACTGCATGTATGTACTTCTGTATGTACAATAAAAGTCCATCATGTAACTCTTGTATGCACATGCACGGAGTAACACGCATAGTACACATAACCAAACAGACCATTTCCACCTGCATGAAACAAACGAGCACACATCCTAACACCCCCATTCCCACCCCGGGGGAAGCCAAGCAAGAGAGCAGGAGAGAGAGAGAGAAAGAGGAGGGAGGGAGCACAAGAGAAAGAGCATCTGGTCTCCAGATCCTTCCATTCTACTCTACTAAGGAATTCCAACTTCCTTTTCAATCCCACATTTTTTTTAGTCTCTTCTGTGCCCCTTGTTTAGCCTGAAGTTTGCATGCTGGTCAACATCATTGTGAGAGGTTTGGGAGCCGTGGTCTCACATTCCCTACTGATCCCATTTTTATGTTAAATGTTTAACTTACAGGGGCATGGCACAAAGCATACTACTTCACATAAACTAATATTATCATATAGACCCTATGGAGCACAACTTATATACACATTGTAGTGGCAATATATTTTAGAATAAATACCTAATAACGGTTCTAAGTGGAGCCGGAACACCAGTACAAAACATAACTGATCAGCATAACAGTCAGCGATTAATCACTGCATCCAACAGCTTTCTAAATTACAACTACGACGGGTGTGTGAACATAACATGAAAATATTAAACATACACTATAATAAAATGTTTTAAAAAAATTACACACTACACCCATGATTGAAACATACAGGATTAAAAAAAAGGATTAAAATAAATAAATAAATAAACATCTGCAAAAAAAACTGCAGCGTGTCAAGCAAGAGAGATCAAGAAAGAGAGTGAGTGAAAGAGTGAGCGAAACTACAGTATGTGAGAGAAAGAGGGAGAGTGTTTGTGTGAGAGGGCACAACTGATTGTGAACAGTTTGCTACATTCCTTGTAGCAAATAGCTTGTCTGAATGAGATGCAAATCCCTAATAATGACAGCAGCTTTGAATAGAGCCAAGTCCTGCAGTGCAGACTATAGCCACTGCCTGGGGAGAGCCATCAGAACCCCTCCCACCAACGAACAGGTTTCACTTTAAAGGAGCACATGTCCCTTGAGTATATTATATGATTTCTATAGCATAGCCTAGCCTTTATTTTTCAAATAAAAATATGGATAATTCTATGCAATTTTATGTTCTATTCTACGTAAAAGTCAGATAACATTTTGGGCATTAATGCAAAATGTTTTGGCAGAGAATCACAATGGATCTAAATAAGTAACAATTTTTTCCACACCTTTAAATCAAAACACAGAGTTTGGATTACCTCATTGTGTACACACTTACCCTGTACGGCCCAAAGAGTCTTTTCTTCACTTCCAGCCGGAACTCTCTGGCCTTCTCCTCGTCGCTCATGTCAGTGTTTCTTAGCCGCAGAATCTCATACACTCGCCTGGCGTGCTTCTGCATAGGAGATGAAAAGAGAAAGTTTGGAAACATCTTGTAGAGGAGTAAAAAGGCAGAGACACATGAACACAAGTGCATCTCTCATTCTCGTAGTTAAGAACAAAGAGGTAAGGTTATTTATAAAAAAAATAAAAATCTCAATGTAAGAATGTCTGTTCAATTTAAGAATACATACTACGATGCAACTGACTGCACGAGAGATGAACATTCTATTAAGCTTGTATTTTAAAGCATCAAAAGGACATTAATGACACTCAGTTTGAGAAGCACAGCTCTAAGCTTCACATAGTCCTCCATGGGATCAGGGGCAGCCATTTTGCCTGGTCATGCCATAGGCACCAGACTGTGATAATCACTCACAAACAACAGGGCCAGGGGGATTCTGGGAAATAAAAGAGGGAGCTGGGATGTAATTGGAGCAGTTAAATAGTGGCCTAAGTGCAGAGAGACAGAAGTCTTGTAGGAGCCACACTGAGGTGAACTCCCACCCATTCACAGTTAATGGCAAGCTTCCAGTGGTGTGTGTGGGCATGGGTGTGTGTGTGTGTGTGTGTGTGAGAGAGCGTCTCTCCTCCTCATAATGAAAGTCACAAATTTGTGAAAGGCTATCAGGAATTTCAAATGGGAAAAAAATACTTGACGTAATTTGCTGAGAGGGATATTTACTAATCACAACTCTGTCCATCATATTTAAACAAAAAATAAGTTGACAATCATTTGAAAATGCAGAACAATATTCCCAATTGTTTATTTTTCTGTTGATAAACTGAATCACTGGGTACTGAAGGTCTTTTTCTCTCTTAAAAAAAACAAACAAAAAAAACAAAAAGCTGAAAACCCATATAAATGGTGGAGGAGGCACAGGTCAGCAACAACAAAGTCTCAACGACCTAGATAAACCCAATTTAAGGTAAGCCTGAATTTCAAAAACAGACAAAGTAATTTTTGCCTTATCCTCACATTTTGTGGCAATGAGGTTCACATGGTTCTTTTTGTACGAGCCTTACTATTAGCCTGTCTCAAAAGCATCATCCCCTCTCTATGCATGTGCTCTCCCAGCACAAGATAATTGCTTCATTTGTACTATGAGAACTTTTTACCATTATGAAGCATGTTGTACAGTATGCATATCTCACCTTGTTGATCTTGAGTTTCTCTCGTGCTTCCACAGCCATCTCCTCACTGAAGCCCTGAGCCAGTTTCTCTGTGGAAAAGGAGGGCAAGGCCATGCACAGCTTCACCAGCACAAAGTCCCTCAGCTTCACATAGTTCTCAGAGGGATCCTCCGCTGTAATAATTCATTCAGACACAAACATCAGGTCAAATTCCGAACAATTAAAGAAAGCAATACAATTTCACAAGCTATTCAATATGGGATTCAGGTGCTTAGTAACAGGGGCTCCCACTCAGCTGACATCCTTTCTCTGTAACTGCCATTGTAAATGATCCAGTTCCACTGACAGACATACATTCCCAGTCCACTATCTTTCACAGATGACACAATTCCCACTGGATCATGAACAGATTTCACAATTTCCACATCCCATTAGAGTGGTACAGGTTAGTTTAGTTTCATCTGACCACAATAACTCTACAGGCTTTTAACAAAAGCAAGCTAGAACCTGGCCTTTTCATTCTTATGGTTTACCTTTATCTTGTGATCCTTTATCTTGTGAATCCTCTGAGATCAGGCTGGTGTGTTCTACCCTGGTCTTTCTCACATCTGTGATTACATACTGAAAACTGTAGTGAGAGTCACCAGCTTTTCTTTGGCTCTTGAGTGGCCCATCTGGCCCAACTGCTCTGTGTTGGAAAATCCTCAATCTATAGCAGTGCCAGCCAATTATGGACATCACTTACACAAAACTGTACAGTGTCAAAACTGTGCTCTCTAAGATTGTTTAGCTGTCTCAAGTTTGTAAAGATGCAGTGGCTGGCTTTACATGTCTAGGATGGAGCACAAACTTGCATTCACACTGCCAGATTAGCTGATACAGCACAATAAGGAATATTCAGACAGTGGGTGGGCAAGGGTGCCAAATAACACTAGAGATATAACTGAGTAGAAATACATACAACATTTCATTTTGCTCTGATTTTTCTTGATGGCCTGCTTTTCTAAACTTCCACCACTGTCATCGCCTACACAAACATTTAATCATTTAGGTTTTCTGAAAACTTGATAATGAAAAAATTGTTCAAATGATAGAACTATTGCTCAAATTGTCCCACCACAGCCAGAGTAACTCACATTTATTCCCACTGAGGTGTCCTTAACCTTTTTTTAACCCCTATAAAGACAACTCCCCCCACAATGCATCAGCTGTCTGCTTAGACTGGGAGTATTAAATTGGGTTCCTTCCGCACCACAGCTCTGCAGAGATTAGCTCTGAATTCAACTTCTGAAGCCCTAACTGATTAGCTGAGGAGCTGAATCAACTTTGTTTAATGAGGAGAAACATCTGTAAAGTCTGCTGTGCTGTAGCCCATAAAGAACCCAGTTTGTCATCCCTGACCAGGTAACACCCTAAGAGGTGTTGACCTGAGAGTGTACAGAGTGATGCTAAAAAAAAGAGGAGCATAAGTTTGTTTTGCAGTCTTTGATAATTGTGCACTATTCTCAAAAACAATGCTGACAGTCTCTGCTGTGCCCGATTGCAACAGTTATCAAAAATTTTACTAAGGAACAACTTATTTCTAGATCATCAATGTGCATTCTTCTATTTTAAGTCAAACATGTTCTCCTGATGATGGGGGCAGTTCACTGATTTTAAACATCAAGATCTACCACTTACAATGACAAACGAGCAGCCAACTGACTTGTTACTTATATGCCTCTGAAATGGGTTCCCTATTTATTACAAAAAAGTTGTAATTCCTATTTACTTCACCCTTCATTTTAACATTACAGTAGTTATTCCACTGCTGGCGCACAGAGCCAAAACAACAATTAATTCACTGTCTGCACTGTAGTGAATGTATGTCCTATACAGACTGATTAGCTGTCAGACAGAGACCCAAATACACATACATACAGAGACAGAAAGAGAATAAGTTAGGAGACCCAGACAAAAAGCGCAAAGGAGAAAAAAAAAGAGAGAGAGAGAACAAAAACAGGAAAAAGGACATATGAAAGCTGGGCGAATGCTGGCTGCAGGTCTGTCGTGGTAGAGTGGCGCTGTGTATTCACTTTGAATGAAAGCTAATCTCTCTCTCCCCACACAGCTCAATAATTATGCCATTGTGTGAGAGAGCCCGAGCAGCAGCATGTGGCCAGCACATTTCAGCAGCAAACTGCCTGCAATTTACATACATCCCTCCCACCTCGCCACACGTTGGACCGAAGAGCTCCAAGCACAGCCGTGGCAGAGAGGAATTTCAATTCAGCCAACAACTATGCTCAAAAAGGAAGCTCTAATCAATCCTGTCATGCACAGAGTATGTTTTAAGAAACTGCCTAAAAAATATATCCAAATTGCATTAAAGGGAAAGGAGAACGACAGATGCAGATCTCTACCATGTCTGTGTGTTTATAGAAGGCCTTAGGCCAACAGTGGCTCATATGAGTAACTCAAAGAAGAAAAACGGGAGAAGCAATCCCACATGTCAGAACCACTCAGAGGTATGCACTACAGGCCTAATTTGATTAACTCCTGAAAGAAGGTTAATGCAACAAGGAAGCTTACATTTCAACACAACACATATAATCCAAACATTCTTCAACAACCCATGTAATAGTAATAATGTACAGTTCCTGAAAGTAATTTTCACCCCCACACACCTGTGATGTCCTGCACTTTAGGTGAGTTGCAGTAGAACCGGTGGACTGTTTCTAACAGCTGAGCTCCATGACCCTCGCCCTGAAATGGTGGCAAGATCAGCATCTGACTGCTCAGAGAAAGAGAGAGGGAAAGACACAGAAAGGAAGAGTTACACACCAGCAAAAATTCTAATAAAAAACATAAAAGAAGAGGTTTAGTGACCATAGTCAGAATAGCATGAATCAAAAGCACAATAGTACATTAAGGTCATAGTCCTTCACATTTTTAGACAGTTTTTTTGCTCTTGTTCTCTCTCCATAGTGCTAGCAAATACACTGCACTCCCACAATATCACATCCAATTCAGCTTCACATGATACAATGGACATTTCATGATCATAATGATGACCTGATACAGATATGACAATATGTTTTGTTTAATACACATAATTCATGTCCGGACTGCTTTATTTTCTCCAGCATAATACTTGATATATCTCCACCAAAAGATTATCTTTGTTCATTCTCTTGGCCGACATAATGAAATGTTACCACGCTGTGCCAATCAATATATTACGCTGATTTCCAAAATGGGCTTTTTGATGGGTGCTGCTGACTTTGCCATCCTTATAATAAGCAAATGGGGGTTGGCTTATAGGATATATAAGCCAGTAATTTGGGGCATTTAGGGACAAGAGAGCCAGAGATGTATAATTTTCTTTTCCTTTTTTCAAAGAATAAAAGAGAGAGAAGGGCACGTGCTTCCCCGGTAATTACCTGACACGTGGTCTGGTTTTGTCTGGGTATACGTAGTAATTATACACTGTCATGTAGCCAACCGTAGCGTAGAGTGTCTCCCCATCCTTATTGTACTTCTCAAAACTGCAGAGAGAGAGAGAGAGTGAGAGAGGAATAGAACAAGAGACAACGGGCAAGTTAGAGACAGAGAGAGAGAGAGAGAGAGAGAGAGAGAGAGAGAGAGAGAACACAAAGGCAAGCAGGTCAATCATAGGCACGCTCCCATGCACCGGACCCTCTATCACTCTTTCAATGTCCCTGTCTCTCTCAGCTCTGGCCGTTTATCACCCCCCACCTTGCACATTGCTTGTTTTCTCTCTCTGGCCTGCTGTCAGTGTGAGCATGCTGGAGCAGGGCAGTTGCAGCCTGTGCACCTGCTGTAGAGAGTGAATGCATTATGCACTTAATTGGTGCACTGCAACTTAGAGAAGAGAGGAGCGGAGAGAGGGAGGCATCTAGCCTCTTCAAATCTCTCCAGTCCATTTGCCCATTGTCAGCTTTAATAGGTGCCAAACTAAAGAAAACACTAGCAGAGTCTCCTTTTCTGTTGCTAGAGATTCCATTCACTGTTTCAAAAGACAACAGCATTCAATTCAGCCTCTTGCACCAACCAAAAAAAGGAAAGAAAAAAGAAAAGACAGAAAAGAAAAGAGACAAACACCACAAAAGGAAACTCTTGCGAGATCAACAGTTCACCTCCATGCAGGGGGAAATATAATTAAACAGGCCTGGTAATTGGTCCCACAATGAAAGGTAGTGAGGTCTCCTCACACACGTGTGCGTGTATACGCACATGCACCTGACTGAGAACGAGAGGGATATTTTTTATACAGCATGCTCATGTTCTCTACTCTTTATTAATTCTGAGTGCATTCTCTCAAGTTCACTTCCAAGTTCAGACTTGACCCAGAACAAGGATTAATGTGCCTTCAAAATGTGCATGCTTTAAAATTCAGGCTCAAAACTCTGCAATCATATAGCTATGCTTGCTCCATCCTACCACTTACCATGGAGGTTTAATTAGCATTTTGTTTCTGCTTTTACCCATATACAGTGATCATAGTCATATCAGGTGTAAAGAAGGCAATCACCACATCAACACTTTAGGCAACCAAATCTGGAACAAACATCCAATTTCTATTCTAAGAATAATCTAATGATGGCTCTAGGTTCCTGTTCTTCATGCACTCTGTTGTTAAAAACAGCAAAATGCTCACATAAGAAAGAAGTCCCAGCGATCGTCATCTACATCAATAAAGCTGGCTGTCTCAATGAACCACATGAGGAAAGTCTGGAGGCGCTCATGGTACTCTCTGAACCCTGCGCATGAAATATCCACCTGTAAGGCAAACAGGCAAAGACGAAATCTTGCTATAGCATTATGACTGTAACAGAGTGTGACTCTTTTCCCCAACTATGTCATTAGAATGTCCTATTCAAGGTCATTGACAGAGTGCTATGAGGAGCATTAAACACGACAGTCTTTAAATCCATTTTCAAATTAAAGTATCACAATTGGTAGAAGTTAATTACAAGTCATAGTTAAAGTATTTATAGCAGATAAACAGAAAAAATATTTCTTAAATCAAAAACGTACACACACGTAGGTATAAAATTACGAGTTTGTACTGAGTGTAGGCTCGTCATAATTTTAGCTGGTGAATAACCACCATAAAAATAATAGTGATAACAATATACTTGTCTTTTTTTGTTCCCTTTATGCAAGTATTAAGGTAGAAGCCCAAAGTGGCCAAAGTGGCTGATTAGCTAGCTTGCTTTCTAGCTACAGGTACTTAGTCACACCAAACTTATCACAGATTCAGCTCAAGCTCAAATAAACTCACAGCTGCCCACTAAGCGCAGTATAGCACCAACCTATGATGTGTTACGCACGACTGTTTGTTGCAACAGAAACATATGATTGTAAAAGATAACAACTGTGGAAAATAAATGTGATTGGCAAAATTAATTATGATTAGATGACTGTGTAATAATTATGACAGGCCTAACTGTGGACAAGAAAGCATGAAATGTACTGTAACTAGTGAAGATCTAGTGAATCAGGATGTGAATCCATAATGAATGCTGCTTAAGAAACATCATTGATTGATACCTTATGTATTTGGTAGGTGAGGTCTGCTCCCTCGTCCACATTGTGAACTTTGTAAGTGTGCAAGAGGCTGCCAAATGGTTTGAAGTTTGCTTCTTTTTCCAAGAGAGTGATAAAGTCGTCCGTGTTACAGCAGAAACCAGGAGGAATGATTTCTCTGATCTTCCCCTCGACATCATCAGGCTAAAGAAAGACACAAAGGGCACATAAGGCTCAGTATGAATTAAAAAATAATTCTATTAAATAAATTATGGCTAAAAGCCTGAGTGATCTATTTATGTAGTAGCAAATATAAAAAAAACAGTACTCATTACACAGGAACAAATCTTTCTGATGTTATAAAAATCACTTTAAAAATGTCTCACAAGAAGACAAACTCATTTAGTTAACAGAGGCTTGTATGCACCCTTTTTACTGAATAAATTAAGTTAACAGTACACCATTAGGTGACAAGTTTGTACTCTTTATTTCCCAGTGCCCTGGCCTTGTATGTAACCTCAATGGAGCCACAACAGAATAATACCCTATTGTTCTGTCATTAGGCTATACTTCAGCCTTGATTGACATAGCACATGTGGAATTAAAAAAAGAAAGAATACATATTTTTGTCAAACAAAAAGGAGAACCATTAGGCAATTAGTACTGTCAGCTGAGTAGGCCTTCAGCCCCCCTCTCTCCTACTCTCTGAAAGACCACTTAATTGAATACATTTACTACTTATCTTAAACCATGAATATTTGATGAAGTCCCTCCACAATAATGCGTCTCTGCTTCTCACCGGGCAATAAAATTTAATGAATTGATCTCAACCTTAACAAAAAAACCTAGGCATCTATAATAGGCTCCTCTCCTCTAAGCCTGGCGAGCGAACTCAATCAAACGAGTTTGCCCCCGCCATTCAAAGCCTCCTGGGCAGACAAAAGACCCCTCCTCTGCCCTCTTTTGGGATTTTTTACTCAGCAGAATGCGCAGTGGCTTCAGCTGCGATGTTTGCATTGTATCCATTTCCATGCGGATTGACATGAGAACACTTTGTATTAAGTTGCTAAGCAGGGCCTTTGGCACCATTTAGGCGCGTGATGGGCATTAGTTCTGTAGCAGGCCTCTCGCTGCTCCACATTCAAAACAGGGAAATGAAGAAGGACAAGGACAAAACGCACGACAAAAGGCTAATGCAACATGGCGCTAATTCCTGCTCTTTCAGACATCAGCTAATATCAGCCAGGAAGCAATGCACCTGCGGCTGAGAAACACTTCTCCATTGTTACTGTTCAACTGCATTTCTGAGGCATAAGAGAATCAGGGAATGCACATAAAAGGCAAAGGACAAACAAGTCAGATTGTCCCTGCTCTCTTCTATACAACATTTACAAATTGCACAATCTTCTATATAAAGAGTGCATTGTTAGGTCACTATATTAACTAACAGTGCTTCTTCAGAGCTTTTAGTCCATTTGGGAATACATCATCTTTTCAGGAGAGAGCTCAACAAAGGTAAATGCCAGCGTAGGATCTAATTCTTACATAAAGGGTTTCATTTTAATCAAAGACCATCTTGTTCTGTAAGTAAAAAGGGGAATAAAGTACCTCAATATGAGCAGCAATTCCCTCCTTCAGAAGCACTACGTTCAAATTTACCACAAAGACTCACCTACTACATAGGGTACACTATATGCTGCTGTCATCTGACAATATACCAAATTGTTAACAAAGCTAGCCTATCTTTTGCACTTATGCTGACGTCCTTTTCGAAGATTATTTCACAATTACATCTGGATACAGTACAATTTTAGCACAGAACTGAGCAGAGCAAATGTTGACTGGATACATGCAGACGGCCTGCTGAATCAAAACAATAAATCCCATTTTGTCTGATCTCTGTGGAGGAAAACAACTTAATTTGACAACTGGTACAAATAAAGGCTAACTAATATACAGCATTGGCCTATCAATGATCAATAGCAATGAATTACAAACAGCAATTCATAACAACCTAGTTCAAAAGCCTACTGCTCTTTATGTTTATTCAGCAGTGTTATCAATAAAAACATACTAATTGCAGTGAGATATTGTAGTTCTATGATGAAAACCAATACAGTTTTATTTTCAGTAGAAGTGTTAAATAGTCTCGCACAGGCCAAACATACTGGATATCCCTATATCAACAGTTACAGCTAGCTCTTTATATTCATCATGTATAACTGACACAATCTTAGATTATTTTACATGTTTTGCTAATAGACACCACAAAGAATTATTGTAGAGCAGGCCCGGGATCAGATGACACTGGTTTTCAAACTGTGGGTTACAAAGAAGCTGGTGCCTGGTTTTTGTTTGTTTTGAGTGGTTCCACAAGGACAAAATGCATGAGAACATAATGAACTACATTTTAGACCAGAAGTAGAAACCACTGTGTTTATTTCATCGTTGCTGCTTCCAATGCACTCGTGTTATCACTGTGGCCTTTTATATTCGCTGTGTGCAGCAAGCAAAGTCACGCACTCATGAAGTGCAGTTATCGAGTGTTGTGCAAAATATGGCGGAAGGGACGCATGGCAGCCACACTATTTTTTGGGCTTGCTCCAAGTTACAAGCCACTCAAAGCACGCACAGAATTTGTCTTTCACAACTACTTATTCATCCCTTAAAAGGCCAGGGCCCTAAGAATAGCTCAACCTGTTTGCAGTGAAGTCACTGTAGTTACTGAATAATAAGCCTTAGTATGTAATAAGCCTGTGATTTTAAAATTCTTAAAAGTAACAAGTAAAAATTACAGGCCACTTTTACCAGGAAATTCTTGTTGACTATTTTCAATGATGTACTCTGTTGTATGATGTATTTTGTCAACCGATCATTGCAGTTCTGGTGTAAAGTAATGCTTTTTTAAATATTTTAGCATAGTAAGCTATTGCACTCGTAGATTGAAAGAACAGTAAAATTGAGGAAAAAGTGAGCTAAAGGCTTAAGGACATCATTACATAATATCACTTCATAAAGAACTTTTACCTTGACATGTGGATCTTTGCATATGTTAGGAAACCCCTCTGAGTTACTATACCAACAAAATTACACCTGTTCATACAATATTCTATTAAATGTAATAAACTCAATATTAAAATATAACAAAGAAAAAACATGAAAGCCAACCAAATATATAAAGCCTTTTGGAACAAGATACAGTTAATGGATTGAAAAACATTTATGAAGTTTCTTGTTAAAAAAAAAAATAAATAAAAGGGATCATGTATGAAGATACACTACCATGAGTGTTAATGGCAGAAAGTTTCCAGGTGACCACTGATATGGTTACACACGGGTCTGTTACCGCTGTAACACTGTTATGACGTCATGTGTGGTCTGGGGTTGATTGTTTTGCATGTCAGTCAAAATGACATCTTACTCTCAAAGCAGGAGGTTCTTGGCCACAGTGAGACAAAACCCAGGACCTGAGAGACTCAATTTTCTATATATTTTAGAACTTTAATTTTAGGTGACAATGTCAGTCTTACTGCCAGGCGCAATCCAAACAGGTTTACTACTGCTCTGGGCTGTTAGCAGGTTCTCATCTGGATTTATTTCAGAAAAAAGAAAATTCTAAATGATAAGTGCTAGTATCTTGGAGCAGCTGGAAACTTCAGAGTGCACCGTGTAATGAAGACTAACAGAGATCAGGGTTAAAAATTCTTGTATAGAAATACATCAAATCTGAAAAATAACCCTATAATAAAATAATAATAACTATATAATAGAGAAATTTGTTTTTAAAGATAAATTAATTTCAGGAACACTGAAACAGCCATTTATTTTTGTCTCTCCGTGTAAGTCTTAACTGTAGACAAAGCAGGTCTCCCTGGTGTATCACACTATGGGAAAGTATGAACTGACTGCATTCTTTTTGGAACATGCATCATACTAGACAGCAGATTGTCAACATTGTTGTATGCCTAATTCAAGTACTAAGCAGATGGAAATTAGCTAGTTAGCTAATTCTGTTGGAAAGCACTTTTGTTCAACTTATGTTTTATATACACGTGAACAGATGATACTTCTAGTACTTTATTTTAGTCTTAATCTAAATCATGCTTGCCATAAATAAGGGAGTGTAAGGGTGGGGTGGGGGAATCGTGGAAAGCATACCCATAACTGCACAAACCTTGGGTATCACTGCATGCATGAAATACACATTTTTCCAAACCCATTATATTACGAATTTTTCAGGCCTACCTCCACACAGTCAAACTTCTCGGTGACCCTGGCAGAGTATTTCACTTTGAACAGCGTGCTCAGGTTGCCTGCAGTGTAGTACAGCTGAATCTGAAGACCTTTGTAGCCAAAGGCCACTTCACTATTGGGCAATTAAACAGGAAAGTGTAAGACAGTTGTCATATTTGACAAGGTGCAACGCTCATATTAAGAAGCCATGACAAACTATGTTTACTGGAAAACCTTTAAAGGAGTCATCATAACAAAAATACAGTGTACACTGTAAACATAAACAGCTGACACTTGACAGACTACTGTGAGCATGCTGAGTTGCAGAAAACTGAGCATTTGCTTCAGCACCAATCATGTTATCATTATCTCTGAAGACTTTATTTATTAGCAATAAGAATAAAAAACACTTTTTAAAACATTCACAAACAGCAGTACTGAAAAATGACAGAGGGTGTCAAATCCACACACCAGTACGAAGAACTCATTGCATAACATTCAGGTAGTATACAGGCTGTAACTCGGTAAGTTACTTACTCATCACCAAACAGTTGATGGCTGTACTCAGGGTGGAAGGTTGTGCTTTCGTCCTCTATGTCCTCTGGGAAACGCACTGTAAGAAATACAAGTACAAGCTGATAAACAACTATAACGGAAAACAAGGCCATTTTTCCCCCAAACAGCTCACATCTTAACAAAGGCTTAAATTGTCTTCCTATTTGCTAACTTCTTACCGTAATTTTCCGTTCCACCTTAAATTATGCAGCAGTTACATTCTGGCGCTGTAAATGCTGCACTATTAAGCTACTATTTAAGGTGAAACGGAATATTTCGAATAAGAAGCTGACGAATAAGACTCTAATTTAAGACTCTTCAATTCAATAACGTATTTTATAATGAAGCTTACCTAATTTTAAGCACGTTGCTTGGTTGGTGTCACATTTATATTCGGCCAGTTTCTTCTCCATCTCATTCACACCTAGAGGAAAAAGAAGCGGCTAGAGTGAACATAACGGCAACCAAAACAAGCGGCTGGTGCTGACAGGAGGCACTAATTAGAGAACTACGAAATGCAGGGTGACAAAACCTACTGTAGTTTTGGAAATCGACATATGAAACATATGTCTGTATCCAAAACAAGCCAATGTTAACTAGCTAGCTAGCTAGCTAATAGCAGTAGCTTAGTCTGGCTGCTAACGACCAGTTAGCAAAGGGCTGTTTCTGACCATGTCTGTGAGACACTATGCCCCCAATGTCTATAACAGCAAAAGGTCAGGTAACGAACTGGATCATTTCAGGAACAGCAGCTAGATTAACGATGATTTCGCATAAAGTTACTTGTTGAAGGAACAGCTTTCACCACCACTAACCTAGCTAGCTAGCTAACTCTTAACAGCTAGCCAACTAACCTGAACAAGCCACAAAACAAGACACTTCGGTTATCTCTCTCACACGGTTATTTGCTATAAAACACCTGTCAGAATAACTCCCTGCTGGAGCAAGAATGCAATTTTCTCACCATCTTCATTACACTAGTTAGTCAGCTAGCCGTATATATCCAGCTTGCTAACGCAGCTGTGGCTAACCAGCTAACGGAGCTACCGCAGACATTAACCGGTTAGCAGAATGTCCACAGCCACTGCAACTTACTGTCAGACAGAGCGCTAACAGTGTAATACACAGCTTTTTATTATGTGCTATACACGTCTACAGAAATCCTCTAATGTGAAAATATAATGTATCGCTTCAACTGCTTACCCGCCATTTCCACACACAGCTTCTCCACACCACCCGCGAAATGCAAAAGCACGTCCTGTTTACCCACGTGCTTCCGCTCTCAGATGTGATTGGAGGAAAAGAGCCGCGGGTTTGACAGCATTTTCCCGCGCCTTCAAAATCCATCACTGGGATGACCGCTATGGTTATTATGCTTCACCGTCTCTTTTGGGACTAAATCTACATACTAAATGTTGTGAAATGATTTTCTCATTTTATTAGAAGCATTTTAAAAATTGTTATTATATTTTATACATATTGTTTTATATTTGGAAAAATTCCATATAAATTACGGTACATCTTCAAATAGAACTTGTTAGAATTGTTTTTGTTTTTAAAAAAGACCTTTAAAGAAACCTCTAGCAATTAATGCTCTTATGCACTGTACTACCTGTAATTAGTGTAACATGCATTTTGTACCTCTCTTGCCCTGTAACCTGTAACTGAATACTGTTCAGTAAAGCATCTAATCATTGGGATGGTCCACAGCTGAAAAGCTCCCTGCTCCCACTGCTCCTTCTGCTCCTTAAATTGTAGGAGGAGAGCCTGCTGAGATCATTATAGCAGTTACTTAGAAGCAACAAGTTACAAGTATTTCCGCATAGAGTGGTTTAGGTACTGTGGGGCAGCGTACTGGGTTATATGTATGTTTGGTTACATGGAACATACATTTCATAGACCTTGACTGATGCCATTTGATTAAATTACCCTAAAACTGTTGTAATTTCATAACATTTCCTTTTGCTTATTTACAAATAATACATTAGTAAACATCAGCGGAAATTGAAATATATACAATTGTGGCTTCATGATTTCAGCACTGATTTGGGATTTATAATGAAAAGATTATAACATTTAACATGAGGTTAATAGAATAAATAAGCCTAATGCCTCAGTCGAAAACACACACAATGTGACTGAATGATCTTTGTAAAATGTGCATCTGAGTAAGCAGCTGCCACCTTGGTCTCAGAAAGCATTTGATTAGACATTGTGAAGATTGTGAAGTGCATATAAATATCTTGCTAAACAAAAAAATCTACCATTTAAAGCTCTCATACAAGTGAAAGTACTAGAGAAATAACTGAATAAGTTCATGTTAATCTCCACTAAAATTTCACCAAATTAAAATTCATATCTGAATTAGCTGAACACTGTAGTGAAGAAAATACCTGCTGTTTAATGTTTCTTGATCCAAAAACAAAAATGAAAGGCATGTAGTGTGTTAGCTGACCTCAACAACCCTATAAAATTTAGATTTAATAACCTGACAGTTTGAAAATGGATTGAACTCATCAGCTGACAAATTCTCAATGCAACAAAGGGCCTCATGAGAACATAGTATTTTTTCTTCTCTTTCTTCTTCCTCTTCGTCTTTCATTTTTAATGCTGTTTGTATCAATCATGACACCGGCAGAAAAGACACATAATAAAAATATAATGACTTTGCTTCCAAAAAACTTAAAAAAGTAGAAATAAAGCATGTCACTTCAAATGTATAAATTGTATATTTCCACATTATACTTAATTTGTATTTGTTTTATTCTACCTATTATTTAAAATATATGGATTATTTATGTAGACATTAGAATATAATAGCTTTATTGTCATTGTTCAATAAAATTTAATTACCTTTTCCTTATTGGATGCTTAAACATCAACATTATGCTATTAAAACATAAATTAAGTTTATTTATATAGATATTAAAGAAATAATTAACTTTTTTGTACAATATAATATGACGGAGCTGTTCGCCGCTGTGACCCCCACCCCCAGCTGTGAAGCAGCAAAACTTGGGATAGCTCTTTATGACCCAGAAGAAATCATCAAAAATCAGTACCTCACTACGCTACTAATTGTCTTATGGCTGAATGCAATCAAATCCTCACAGCAATGTTCCAACATCTAGTGTAAAGCCTTCCCAGAACAGTAGGTTCTGCTAGAAAAAACAGCCAGGACCAGTAGAGCTGGTCACCAACAAAACCATTATGCTGTTTTGCATGCTGGTATGTTTGTCAACCAGTGTGACTATGCTGGGTGCCCAGCTTAAACCAGCACCAGCATAAACCACCTTAGACCAGCATGGAATTCAGCGTGGAACTCAGGTAAAGTCTCTACTACAGGGAAATTCCACCGATTTTCCCAACTGTAATGTCTTCCCCTGCGGGAGTTTTTAGAGGCATTTAAGGCTTTGGACGTCTGGTTCCTTTCACCACCACCGTGGACAACTCTGATTCGGTTAGTTTCTCTAAACCTTTGGACACAGTGCAGCAGGTAATACTTCACAGGTACTCTATTCATCTCATTAGTCAGCTCACTGCGATTTCTCTCGTTAGCACTGCAGTGACAGAGCCCCTAAGCACTCAGCTGTGTTGTTTCCTTGCCTGAACCGCTGTAAAACACGCACACGACCGCCTACAAAGAAAAGAGGAGGTGTAGTAATGGCAGGAACAGCAGTACTCGCTGTAGTAGTAGTTGTCGTCAGTCTCCGACTCCCGGCGAGCTGAGCGCTTGTGCTTGTCGACGTGACGTCACTCCAAGCATGGCGGTCAAGGTGACTCTGTCAATATTGTGCTTTTCAGAAATAACCAGGAGCGTGTATTTCTTATTTAGGGACTTTAGAAACGCTTTAACTAGTAATGGTGGCGGGACTCGTGTGCTGTCAGCAGCATCTATACGATCAAGCCTGTTTCCGACAGCCCTAGACAGAAAGAGAGAGAGAGAGAGAGACAGGAAATATCTGTGTTTTGGAGCCTACAGCTCTGGACCTGTTATCGTTTCAGTCTTTTTATTATGTTCATGTTAACGTTTAGACTCTTCAGAGGCTGAACTTCAACGTCAGAATATGTTTTTAAGCTGACACTCAGTACTTATCCTGCAGCACTGAAGTTAATGATGCTAAGAGTGCTGATGCACAACTGCTAAGTTATTAAATTCAGAGCTATAGCACCAGTTAACCTATTGCAGACCATGGTAGGTAGGAAATGCTTAAAACTGCTTGTGTTTGCAGGTGCAGTCCACTAAACGAGCCGACCCCAATGAGCTGAAGGAAATATTCTTGAAGGTAGGAGTCCTCCTCAAATGAAATATTGTCATTATTATTATTATTATTATTATTATTATTATTATTATTATTATTTAAGGCTCGTCATTCTGTTTCTGAGGGAATGTTGTTTGTTTATTCCTTCACTATAACCCCTTTTAAGCATAAGTATATCTCTGTCAGCCAAGACTGGGTTGTCTAAAGTCTTCATGATAACTGCACATAGCTCATTAACCTAAGTAGTGAATGAGCAGTAGTGACATTACTGACCAACAAACTGCTGTACTGGTGGGCAATATGACAATGTTTCGTCATATCATGAAGAATTGTGTCCCAGTACATCACAGCATGGTTGCCTGAACATATCATGGATATCATCAGTGCTTAATAAACATTAACCAACTACATGTTTCATTACAAAGAGAGCATAACTGGTCCTGTTTAACCCCTTAAAATCCCAGGCTTGTTACATCATAAGGGTTATTATTCAATAACTGCATGGACTTACAGTTCATGGAGTTATTCTTAGGTCAAAGAAGTGTGAAATTAAAGTTTGGACCATTTGGTGGGTCCTGGGAATATATTAATGTGATTTAGTGCATCACTGTGAAATGTTAAATAAAAATTATTGTATTCATAATGTTTGATAGTATTTTTAAAATGTGGCACTGTTGGTACATGCAGTCTGTACAAAATTATCCAACCTCAGAAAAAGTAAAGATAGTGATACATATGGTTTTATGGTGAAATTGTATTTTTTGCTATATCGCCCGCCCCTGCAGTGCTGCAAGATGTCTGCTAGCAATGTTAAGTCCATGTTAATCCTTGATTTTCCTTGGTCTTCCAGCTTTATTATTTAAAAATAATTGGCTAGTTTTACTGTGTATAGTCATGGGATACGTCTCAAATAGGTACAACATTAACTAGCAAGTTTAAAAAAACAAGAAAAACTGAGTTGATCTCTCAGCATTGCACGCTGAACTGTTGCTCTGTGTGTGTAAAGTGGTCTTAGAGGAGGTTGTGTGTCAGAGCTGGCTGAGGTCCAGAGCACGAGAGGAAAGGTCACACGCATGCTTGGACTAATTCTGTCGCTCCCCTTCTCCCTGGTATCTGCCCTTTCTCCACCCCTCCTGACCTCTGACATTTACTTCGGTCTCCTGTTGTCTGAACAAGGCAATTGATCAACAAATATGCAAATTGCAACGCAGGCCACTTTTGCTGTATTTTGGATCATGAGCACTCTATGGCTGGCCTGGCTATAAGTCCCTTATTTGTCTTCAGTGTCTGTGAAGGCTCAGCGGTAACTGATGTTACCTTGCACTGTCAGCTAGTTATTGAAAGCACTTTGACAACTCTCAAAGAGAGTGGTTCACAATTTAACCTAGCAACATTTTAAAAGCCGTTCTCTCTCTCTCTTACCACACATCACTGCACAGTTAACCTTGCTCGACAGCGATCAAATCTGTAATTGACAGAACTATGATTTTAATACCACCCTCGTCACATGAAATAATTAAGTAGCTCTCAGAAATGAAGTCTGCTATAATGTGTAAAGGAGCCACTGAAAGCAAGAGTACTATTTCACTCAGTGCTAACTACGTGCTTGATTTGATGATGAAGTACTTTAGGCTTACCACGGCTGAACTTGTGCTCAATTATATGGTGAAGCTGTTAATAAATTGATTGGAATTAATGCTTTCCCCCACAAGCATTAGCTGTAGAGTGTGGAATGGTGTGTCTGTGTGTGTGTGTGTGTGTGTTTGTGTGTTCGAGGGAGAGTGATAGACAGAGAGTGTGTGTGTGTGTATATTTTAGACAGATATCAAAGAGGCACTGTCATGATCAGTACAAGCTGAAGTTTGTGATCCTCTCCTAGCAGCCTTTTAGTTGATGGTTTGGGGATTTTATTTGATTAACTGTACTGGTACCACAGTCTGTACTGATTTCTGTCAGCGTTAAGACAGCACAGTAATAAAATACAGGACCGTGCAAAAAAGCAGCCAATAAAAT